TTTTCTGCGACTTGGGGGCGCAGCTTGATACTAATCAGCTCCGCCCCTCAGATTGAAAGAAAGAACAGAATCCAGACAAACTAAAGAGGTCGCGATGCAACGATTTCCGCTGTAAATGTCTTCAATGCAAAGTCAGCCCTACTTACCTGCTTTGTATGAAGATCTAACCAATGGACCACTTGCAGTATATGCAAAACCTAGTTCGTTACCAACAGTTTCCCAATGTTTGAACTTTTCTGGGGTTATGTATTCTGTAACCTACACAATATCAACAAAAAACAATCAAATAACTCCAAATAATAAATATTGGAAAAAATTTAAATAAAATATTATATTTTTTTATTGATACATCAAAAGACACAAAATTTAGAAAGAAAAAAGAAAATTTAAAACTCAATTAAAAAAGCCTAGTTGTAGTGGTTACTGCAAAATTGAGAAAGCTAAATGCAGCAAAATGTTGACACATTTGAAAATTAAAACAACTGCCACAAACCTTACCCTGACATCGTATTCAAACCCTAACCCTCAATCTGAAGGAACCCTATACTAGCCCCTGTCTTAGGTTACAAGAACCCTAGTACCTAAGCCTRAAACTAACCCTAAGCTAAGGTATGGGGATGGGAGTGGAGGGTGCAGTCTGTAGGGTCATTTTTTTAAGAAGGTAATAACAAGAAATAAGTAGCAAACATAAATATTTAGACTAGAAATAAGTGATTGAAGGTGAAAGTTTCAAAAATACCATAAGAAGTCATTTACACTGTTTTCGAATCTGGCTCATTAAATGCATAACTTGTTAATGTTACCATTTGTATTCAGTGTGGGTATACAATGATATTTAAGRCAAATAMCAAAAAACTAACCTAAAACATTCATMGACACACAAATTCAAWTTATGCTGRCTTTATGAAATTCATTTTACCGAAAAMACTACAGTGCATGTCATCATTTTCTTCTGAATCAATCACTTATACTTGTTTAACAAGCCTTACCTTGAGATGATTCTTAGTTGGTCTCATGTACTGTCCAAGAGTCAAACAATCAACTCCAGCAGCACGTATATCTAATTCAAAAAGCAGACTTTACTCAATATCACATATACAGTGACAGAAGTACATAACCAGAAGTGTCCATCTCCCCAATAATAAAATAGTAAAATTCTTATAAATGCGAACTTCAATTCAATATCTAATAATAAATGAATTAAAATACAAGATCTATACATCAATTTAATATTTTGAATCACCTTTCATGGTTTGCAACACTTCTTCATCAGTCTCTCCCATTCCCAGCATTAATGATGTTTTGGTGACCATATTTGGTTGTACCCTCTTAACATGCTTCAAGACTTCTAGAGACTGCTCATAATTGGCTCTTGGATCTCTTGCAAGTCTACAAATGAAGAGAAGGAATTATATTAATTTGAGGTAATTGCATAATTATTYAAGTCAGATCTTCTAAAAAATGTGGTGCATYCACATGCCAGTTATCAATTAATTAATCTAAATGTTGCCAAAATAGTGCATGGAGTCTCTATTTAGGACACTAAAGGTCTGCCAGTAATTACACTGTACTTGAACACAATTTCAATAATTATACAGATGTCCATGATTTTTATGGCAATTATGTGCACAGAGATTTGACTTGTAAATATGTCCAACAAAAAGATAATCATGCAAACAAAATTAAAAGTCAGAAAGGTTTCACAGATTAAATATTCAACAAAATATAAAATATATACGGTAATTRATGTTGTAGCTTAATATAAATAAAAATTATAATATTATAAATGTAATTCATTGTTGCTTACAGCTGTAGTCTTTCTACTGTCTCAACATTGTGTGCATAAACATCAAGGCCAGACTCTGCTACTTCCTTGATACACTCATGGTTACCACGGAAATCTGGAGTTAGACATTCCACCATCATTGATGGTGTCCTGAATAAAAATKATGCTGTTCAGGCTTAATACCTCTATATTGATATTAATGGCATTTATTTAAAGGACTGATATATTGAGCTTGACATTCAGAATTCAGTCTGGATCCAAAAATTTGTGAAGGGGAGGGTGAGGGGTGTGACCCAATGCATACAGCGAGAAAAGAACTAATTTACAAACTCAAACATGTCTAGTTATAGAGTATACCATTATACTGTACCTTTTCTTTATCTGTCTGACAGTCTCTGCAAAATGAGAAGCTCCTCCATCTGGAAKATCTGCAATCATAATGATATCAACAAACACAATGCTGTCAGTAATATCTTGAAATGAAATACCACATTTACTCGAATAGACGCCGCCCACGAATAGGCGATGCCCTCAAATAGACGCCGCAGTTAAAGCTCAAAATATTAATAGACACTTCCCCCGAAAAGATGCCGCATCTGGGTGCGGCATCAATTTGAGGAAATAATGATAGGTTAATGGGAATATATTTTATTTTAGAACATATTTTATTTCGAAGTGATTGTACTTTTTTGCTCTYAGCAGCTGTTAGATTCCGACCACGAGGAGGAYATTGATGTTGAAATAGCAGTTTAACTTTAAATCATAAATTGAATAGACAAAATGAACATGATATTTATATATTGAGAATCATTACTGTTTGTTAGCAAAAAGATACAATAAAAAGTATGGTATCTAGTACTGTATAAAATGTTTGTTAATAAACGCCGCCCCMGACCGCCCTCAAATAAATGCCTCACCTGGATCATGAAAAATTAAATAAATGACACAATGTCTATTCAAGTAAATATGGTATAAAATAATGCAAGCAGGAGAAATTACAATGTCAATGAAGACATTTCTGAAGAAAAGATTTGAACTGTTCATAGCTGTTGCTGCAGTAATAATTATGTAGCAGTTGATAAACATTAAATGTTGTAATTAATAATATCAACCTAATAATATATGTCAAGGCTAGAAATCACCAAAAATACAGGGATGCCAACCCCCGAGCTTTTCAAATCTTGAGATACGAAAATGATGACGTCATACCGGAAATGACGTTTCATAACATTATCGATGACGTCATCGCATTTATCAAATTTTGTTATAACTAGTGATTTGATTGGATGTGTCTTAACCAATCATATTATAGATTGTATTGTGCAATGAAAATGGCCGCGGATGGCGTGCAGTGTTATTGTTATCAGAAGACTGGGATTTTTGTATTTTTTTCAGAACTAAAATGACACAGATATGSAAGGTAATTTAAGTTCTAATAGATGAAATTAAAATACTGATATATGAATCGTCATTATCCGGGAGATTTAGCGGTAAAATCTTGAGACCGGGAGAAACGGTCGAAAATCTTGAGACTCCYGGATTATCCGGGAGAGTTGGCATCCCTGAAAATAGCATACTTTAATCATTGTATTTCTATTGGTGTTGACTCTTCTAATAGATATTAAATACAAAAGCACATAAAAACAACTGCCTATGGGACAGGAAATGTAAACAGTGCAAGCCCCAATTGACATCCATCCCTTTACAATATTAAGTACCCACATTCATTGCAACACACATGAATTATGGGCAGTGAACACAACAATACAAATTCCCACTTCTCCCCTTTACAAGCTATTGTTTTACTATAATACCTACCATCTCTGTCAACTGAAGTGATAACAATGTAATCCAGGTTCCATCTGCTTATAGCTTCTGCTGTGTTCATTGGTTCCATTGGATCAAGTGCTGGAGGCTTTTTATTTGTTTTAACTGAACAAAATCTACAGCCTCTGGTGCACTGATCACCCATTACCTAAAGAATAGACAATAATTGTGAAATAAGATAATAATAATAATAATAATAATAATAATATGTGGTCTTATAGATATAATAGATACACCTACTTGCAGAAACGTTGTCATAGAAAATAGAACATTTGAATTTAGTAAAAAAGGAATAAATTAAAACAAGACAAAAGAGAGCATTCAGCCTCAGTGATCTTCTTTTGTCTTTTTTAATTTATTCCTTTTTACTAAATACAAATGTCCTATTTTCTATGACGACGTTTCCGCAAGTAGGTGTAGATATAATGATAGATATAATAATAGATATAATAATAGATATAATAAGATAAATATTATAAGACAGGTCAAAATTATAATGACTTAAGAACATGACCTGTTCGACCATGGCCAAACATTGTATCTCAAGATATTACAGTATTAAATTTGAATACTTATTTACTAAAATCAGTTCACCAAAAAATGAAATTCTTGTGATGTTTTACCATAATTGTAGCAGTTGCAGTGCCTTCTTCGCCACCTCCCCAACATTCACCAATATTTGGACACTTTGCTTCTTCACAAACCTTAAAATGAAAAAGATAATTAAAGTTTCTCTATAAAATCCAATGCTTTCATCAAATGGATGGGCAGGGTTTTTGGATCATGTAATCCTGTCATGCAGGTGGGAGTGGTGAGACTTGCTTTCAAAGGGCATTCTTGTCATCATACAATTACATAGTATTTGACAGTTTAATATTATAAACATGCAAAGAAATTTATCAAGACAATCTTACTGTGCTTAAATTGAGCTCTCTTAATGTCTTCTTTAACTTTGAATAGTTTTTGCCAATAGGAATTTCAGTCTTTAACCATGGAGGTAGTCGAAGTCTAAAGACATGTAGTTTAAAAATAACATACATGTAATAGAAATAGCCAATCAACATTATAAACATTACAACATTATAACAAAATCAAGAGAAAAAGTGAAAGTCTGAATACACTGTATGTAAGCTTATTGTGGCAATCCTAGTTCTAATCCTCTGAAAATAAATTTACAGCAAAATCCAGCAATTTCCTCAATATGAGCAAAACATTGTTAACAATAAATCATCCTTTACAACAATATACATATTGTTGCATCAAATTGAAGTTGGTATCCAATAATAATGTTAAAAAAAACAAAAGATGAACTCCTTCTAAAAAAACAAACCTTTCTCCTTTTTTTCGCCTGTATGGATTTTCAACAGTACCAGATATGAATTCCTCRAGACCAGGGCCATTTGCTATCTTGTTTTTAGTATCCTTTGCCAGAGAGCTAAAACTAGCTGATTTTGTTAGCCATAAAGATGATAAGGCAATAGTCTACGAATACAAAGTGCACACCAAGTTCAGTTGACATGTTTTTTAATAAATAATTCTTAAACGACGATGATAGATAGATTTTCTAATAAAATATCTTTTTAAATACGTTACAATTTTTACGATAGAATGGAAATAACATTGGAAACTGCACAAAAAAGACATGAAGACTTAGTAATAAAAAAAAACAAAGGATTTCCTTGCCTGTCTTTGTAGTAAAGACGAAAAATTACATCCAGAAATTACAACTTTTTTGGCAAACGCAATGTTGGTCGCCATCTTTATTACGCAATCAACCACTCTTTCACGGACAAAATTAACACAGGATACCCAGAGACTAGTCATCCAAACATAGGTAGGCCCTTGGTATCGAACGGAAACAATTTATCATGGTTTTAAACAGATTTATAAATATCAAAATATTATAAAAGCATTTTCTCGATGACAAAAAAAAATAACTATCCTGCTCATTATCCAACGAGCGTTTACAATTGATTATTATTCATGACGTCATAATGATGAAATGAAACTCGATGGCTTCCAAAGAGAATGAAGACCTCTGTTCTAGTTGCAATTTTGCTTTTATCTTTTTTAGGTGGATCATTTTCTAAAGGTACAGTTTTCTGACTTTTTACCTAAACTACACTCAGTTRTTGACACTCATTTTCAACTTCTGTTTTGAGAGTTTCATGTTTCTAAAGGATGGTTCAAACTGGCGATTTTTTTGCATCGATTTTTGCGTTCTTTTTGATTAATGTTAAAGACTCATAACTTGTAAAGTTCTAGTCACTACACTGAGATGAGCTAACTAATAGTTAGTATACGTATAGTATACGTCTCGTCATAAGGATACGAAAAGTTATGGGGGAATAAAAACGATTTGTATGAAATTCTTTACTGAGGTTTTGGAAGTCTCGTTTTGGTGTTTTTGTGTATCTTCTAAGACCTTGTAACACTTATAACTTCAAGAGAATTTAATATTTTTTGTGAAACTTTCAGAACTTATCTTTAGCTTTGATATCTACCATCTGATTGTTTTCTTTTGTCAACATCATGAATTTAACKATAATATGCTAGTTAGTGTTGTCAATGATGCGCCATTTTTTTCCTACTAACATTYACTTTTATGGAATCATTTTCAGATGGCTTTCAAAGGACTAGCAATGTAAATGAGGTAAATTTCAATYCATAAATTCCATACACTTTAAGCCCTTATTTCTAGTTGTTCTTTTTTYCAAAGTATTTGTAGCTCCAGAATATCGAGTTCACAGTGTCTTGGTTGTTTTGTGGGCGCAGATAATCATTCAGTTGTTTGCATCCAATTGCTTGATTTTCTATTGTTTCTAATGGTTATTAATTCCACGCTTGTTTTCTTCCAAAATCTGTTAAAATTTTGTGTGACCACCTCGCAGACCTCGCTTTTCTTAAGACTGCTTTTGTCCAGTTCTTCCCGCAGTCCATTTTCAGTTCTCTTCGATGATTGCATACTTTTACTTTTTTGCTTCTTTGATGATTTGGTAAAGTTTTATGTGTTCCCTTCAATAATTTATTCTGAAAATATTTATACTGAAACAGACCATTTCATATTTCCTTCTCTTCCAGAAAACAAACGTTGATAGTCTTACGATTGCCGGCATCTTTCCTCAAAATGAGGACAATGACGAAAATACTGCTTCACGATTTTCAGAGTTTCCCAAAGTAACTGATCAATATGTCCTAACTCCTGGAACAACACATACTAATGCAGATGTTATGAAAATGGCCACAAGCTTACACAAGACATACGAAATGGATGGGCGACCCTCAACTACTGTTTTGCCARTTCGAAAAGGTTTTTTTAATTTTGTTCATTTTCAAATCATTTAATTYTGATAATGAAAACGTCGTTTTGACAATTTATTAATCGACTGCCRAGTAATAGATATAGCCCGAGGAGTCAAGGCTTTGCAGAATCGGCCATATTTGAGAACTTTTCGCCATTTTTTTTTTCTCTACACTCAATTCTAACATATAAGTTGCCAATCGGAGCGCACGTTCCATGATGTATTATCGRATTAATCATTTAAGAAACGCATATAATGAAATTGTTCAAATTGATTGACAGAGGACATTACGCTGGAATCAACTTTCGTCAAGCTTGGACGTCGGAAGAGAAACGCAACTGCAAGTACGCATATCGAACAGGTAGAAATGAAAGTCATTYATTCATCTCTATACGTTAATGCCAGGTTGCATGCTGCTCAGAGCTACTGTTCCCTAATGAGCTATGTGTTTAGTTTGGTGTTCCAACAAAAAAAAGCTTATACACTAAATAACGAGAAAAGTGAGACACAAAAAAAAGCAAAATAGATAGACAGTGAAGAAGAATCCAAAAAGAGAGAAGAGTAAACATATGTGAAAAAAGGAACTCTAAGTAATCGGACCAGGAAAAATCCGTTTTGCTCCTATATTCTCCTCACGTCACTTCTATTAGCAAATTATCTATGTTACATTTTGCCTTGTAGCCTGTCTATTGTCAATTATAACGCTTTTGTTATTTTTCAGTACTGCGAGGGGATTCCGTTCTGGAAGACATCGGTTTTTTTCTTAGCTGTTACCGGATGGACGCTATTCGTGATCGTTGGAGCCTGCTTCACGCATATGTATGCTTTTTTGTTTTCTTTCTTACTTCTAGCTTGYCATACAATAGTCTAACGTTCAATATTCTGATTGACTGGCTATGCAAAAAAAAGAATTGAAGACGAGGCTGCGGGGAAATGATAACCTATCCCTCTACCTTTAAGTCAAAATATGAATAATTTTATTTCTATTTTTTCTATCTTTTATTATTTGCATGTAATTTTTATATTGCTGCATAGGTTTCTGATTTATTTGTTTTAAAGCTCATTTCAAATTCCGATGGTATTAAACTTTAAGAAAAGATACTATAAACTTTTTATATCACCGTTAGGATGTGTAAGAAATGCCACGAGTTTAAGAAATGGAAGTTTATAGAGCACGACATCGAAGCTGGCGAACGCTTTACACAACAAGGAAGAGACGACAAAGAAAACGAACCAGGAATGATTTCCATAACACACAATGAGTTAAAGCTCTACCACGATCTCTCTGAACGAAGACAGATTATCAAGCATGCCACTTCTGAAGCTGAGTACATGGAGTTGAGTAGTGGCATGATTTATGAAGTGAATGTCGCTATCGAGGGAAAAAAGAGAGAGGACAGGCGCGCGGCTGAGAGACGAGCAGTAATCAGRCGACATTCTTCAATGATACGACGACCTTCTCTTCTTGATGAAATTCAATTTGCTAGAGAGGTCATCATGGATGATGCATCTTATCAAAATCTCGAGAGAAAGAGATTGGAAAATCGTAAGGTGGGTGTTCCACGCGTGGCACTTTGAATCAAACACTTCAGCCGATTACCTCAGAGTGATCCAACTTTAGATTGCGTAGCTAGTATAAGGCCAACCGAGGTACTCCCCTCGGCAAAATTTTGCTGATGCTTTTGAGTTTCACCACTGATATCATAGATTCTTTGTTTCATCCCACCTGTGAATTATTTCAAGCGTGCTTCTGAATATTGCATACTAAATTTCGCTTAAAACCGTTCAATAAAAAGTTACACAAATGCTGCAAATCGCATTCCACAATTTMTCGGGGGAGGCATTGGCCCGAACTCCTCTAGTTGCAACCGCCCTAAAATCTGGATTTCCTCTTTAAATATTCCTTTATTAACTCATATTTGATTTTTTCCTCCACAACCTTCCATATAATTTTAAACTATTGTGTGAGTAATTGTTTATTTTCTTTACCTTTTGTTTCATTGTTTTTCTCCTTATCTGTAATTACAATTGTAACATTAAATGACTAGAAAACTTATTAGTTAATTAGCCCTCTTGCTCTATTTCTTTRCAACAAATGTACATAATTTTTATACTTACGTTATTGTAATTGTCTGATTTAGTTAATCCAGAGAAAATCATCAGCTGATATCGGAAGATTTAGCGAGGACACACTCAGTTATGCAGCTAGTATTCTTTACCAAGAAAGACAACGTCACAAAATGTCGTCTGAGRAAACACGATCGTACAAAGAGGACAGCACAATGTCAATAGAACGAAGTGGATCTCCCTGGCGTTTGGACGAGGTAATTCCTGTTCTTGTTAAAAGGTCACTTTCGTTTTGTGACCTACAATCTGAACTGTATGTTTTCTATGGCGTCACTAAAAGTTGAATGTCCTGGTTATGGACTGGGTTTCATCATAAACCGGCAGCTTAGACGACCACCTATTTTCTAGTAATATAACARATCATGTTTTATGAAGCATTTTACTTCATAGGATCWGTCTGACAGATCAGCTGTAATTGAACCATCACGCAGAGTGAGAGAATTTGACGAAGACGCTGCATTCCGACGTCAATTTGTCGCATCACATCAGCACGGTGTTGCAGGCCACCGCATGTCGTTTACTGATGATGACATCATCATGAACTATGACGTCATTACTCCTGAAAGAAGAAGTAGGGGAGGTAAATTGTGATATATAGTTAMTTATAAAAACCATTAACAATGCCAATCAAGMATGCATTTTAGAAACAATGGGGACGTTAAGTCCGCATTTGACCTCACGTTTTAGCCAAGGATAACGAGAGCGCGCAAATCATATTTTATAGATTGTATAGTGGCTTTRGAAGATTTCAATCTATTTCGGTTTAGCTAAAGGCTCCCTACCGAGAACCTTTGCGATCTTGAAGGATCTGTAGCTAAAAAGTTTATTTAAAGTCAGAGATGGCGATTGATGCCAGAAGATCTTGGAAATTCGTTGTCTTTAAAAGACTTTATGAGGCTATATGGTAAAGCTATTTCTATCTCTACATTAACAACCTCTATGGCATGGGTAGTTAATATAGAGATAGAAATAGCTTTTAAAATACAACTATTAGCAAACATATCGYACAAGGGATTACGCTAACGTCGAAAGCAATGTATGACATACACATTATAGTCTAATTTTCAACTTTACAGAAAGCTTCGAATCAAGATCTGATCAGTATCTGAGCAATGTTGGCGTCAAAGCGAGCGGATCTTGGTACTCTATCTAAAAAGGTATAACTGAAACCTAGCGGATTAATTTGAAACGGATGAGATATTTAGCCTTCTTAGGACAAGTGAATTATTCACATTTGTCATTAGAAGGAATCATGCTCCAAACGCGTCTGCACGGTTCTTGGATACGACGATCATCCCGCCCTTCGATATATGGCAGTACCTCCCGCGGTTTTACAAAAMGTTTCTGAAAAAAATGTCTCACAGTATCTTGCATTCAGCTGTCAAGAATTTCAAAACTAAGCTCCAGTATACGCAGTACTCACACTCGCTATCCGAGCACCGGCGTGTATAATGAAGGCGTCAAGTTAGGCACAAATTGTAAATCTTTTGACAAGCACCCCTGTCTCTYGTGTTAGTCAGAAATGTAGTCACCACAGACAAAATACTAACGAATGGACCCGCCTGCATCACTTTTACTTTTACCGGCATCACGTCAAATAAAAAGTCAACAATGTTGTCTCAGTTTTGTAGATGTTATAATAAACCTGTCTTCTTTAGTTTCATATAGTTCAACAACAAAGACAACTTAAAGCATAGAAGAAACAATTAGTGTCATCAAGGCAACAGCAAACATTGGAATACATTGAAATAAAAACAATCGCGGCTGCAAAATAATTACAGTTACAGTACAMACATCTCTTTTGTCTTAGTTCACCTTGATAGACAAAAAAAAACAAGCTATATATATTGTATGATTGTTATGTTGAATTGTAATAATAGCTCCAAAGCAGTAATAATCTCACTAATATTCGTGAAAATGAAACTGTACGCTTATTTCAAAATAAAAAATTTGTAACCCAAATAATTGATTTTTAACGCTAACGTGACTGACCGGAAAAAAAAGAACGAAAAAAAGAAGTGACTCTAGAACGTGTACTGTTTTAGTTAAATGGCTTTGTACGGTTTTTTCCTTTTTTGCAGTCTTCCGTCCTGTATATCGCAGCTGTTTTAACCAGATTAAATACAAGATGAAGGTAGACAATAAAAACCCCAAGGACAACGGTAGCTCGAGCTCCAATTCAAAGAAGTGACTTTTAAACAATCAACCTTATAGAAAAAATCAGTATCATATAAGTTGCACTACTACAAAAGTCAAAACTTTAAATGCAATGATATTTTACACAATCTGTATATTGTAGCCATGGATATCAAGTTTAACAAGTACGTTTATTCTATATATGGTGCCCTTCATCTTGTTTCGGTTACTGTAGCCACATCTGCATAGTTAAGATATATTTCATTCAAAATTAAAAGTCGCTGCATGTAAAGTAGCCTACGACCTGGCCAACTTATTGGGAAAAAATTACATTTTCCTTGCTTTTGTCCAGGAAAATGGTGCTTATTATTCTCTAAACGCTTGAGATATATGTGCCGAATTTGAGCCGCAATAATAAGGTGTAAACCTTAGTAAAAACGATCAGTTTTTTTTCCGCATAAAAATTAAAGATTAATTAATTCAAAGGTGCTTTTAAAAATTGTTTCAAACCAGCGAAACAGGTGAATTCAACCTCATATTTACGATTACACAATTTATATTTTGAAAAACATTCYTTTAAGTTAGCCACTCTCAAAAATCAATAAGAAATCTCATCAAGTTGTTTTTATGCTAAAAACTTTCATCTTTATGTAGCCTTGKTCTGAAAATTCGCTTGATAATATTTCCACAAAAGATTTCAGCAATGACGGCAAGTCAAAGCCAATACCCAGTTGAGACGCTGTCATTATACATCGTAATTAGTCCTGACAGTTTTCATTTGTCAGTGTCACGTGTACCAGTTCAAGGAGACAACGACAGAAACCGTTAAAATTATTGGCTCGAAATACAGTTAATAAACCAGTTTTATTAAACAAGCATTAAAGGACAACTCTTATATGCTTATCATAAAATATAAAAACTGGGGGAGTTCCAATTTAAATAACCCCAATCTTACCTACAGCAATCTTATTGAAATTGAATGTATTTCTATACTTGGGCTGTTMATTAGCGCGCTAAAACAGCCTTCAGAAACTTCTATTTTTTATGRCATTTTATTCCAACCTATGCAAAACAACTACCACAAATATTGCTGATATGTTTTGGAAAAAGAAACATATACAGTCAACTCTCGCTATTACGGACATCCTCGGGACCGTAATTTAGTGTCCGAAGTAGCGAGAGTCCGTAGTAATGGGAGTTACTTTCAGTCATTTCTTTCTATTTTTCAGCGGGGATTCAGTATTTCCTGTCCGTAATATCGAGGTATCCGTATTATTATTTATAGTTTAGACTGAATTATCAAGGCGAATGCAAAAACAAAAGTCGCAAAAAACCTTTCACAGTTTTTAGGTTTCAGTTARTTGATATTAGGCCATATTACGAGAAAATTATGCTGCGTTCCTAGAGCTTTTCAAGCTCATGTCAAGTTAACAAAGCAACTGTTTCAGTAATAAGAGTTTTTAGCCGTGGGCAAGTCGCGCCAAAAGGTATAGTACGGGCAAAGCCTTTTTCACACGACGACGTACTATTATCATTTCCTTTGTAAAATATTGTTTTTAATTCATATTTTAAGAAATATATATATTTTTTTACTTAGACGAGAGCAAAGAAGCGTACGACACAAGACATCGACATAAGTATTGTAATAAGTATAAAAAGTCAATCATAGACTATATTATTAAAGACAAAATATCAAACAAASAACTTGAATCACCTTCCTTTTCTCCATTCTTTTCTTGAAGGTGAAATAGTTATTAATCTAGCCTCGAAAAAGCTAGATTAGCGTCGTGCCACTCATTTCGCTTTTTTTGTACTTATCACACATTARCAATCACCAATACCAGTATGCACGTATAAATATGAACCATTTCTGGTCTCTATTGTATAAAATGCTATTTTGTGGAAAATTACACCATTCAAGAATCGTTTGTCAATGTTATATAAAGTTTGACTACTTGCTTCAAGTAAAGCTGTTAAAAAACTATGTACATAGTATGAAGCCAGGAAAGAAAATATTCAAACTACTGTTATTAACCAAATAAAAATAATCAGTTTCGGAACGAAACCAAAAGATTGCTTACATGTATTCCACATTTATTGCTATTTTCAAGTATAGCTATAATCAAGTATTTCATTGTATAAGMGTGATATTGATGTACACTCATTCGAATTGAATTAACAGTGAAGTCATTATTAGTACTGCATGACAAGATGCTATAGATTACTTCAGTTTTCATTCCATAATGTGACGTGCATCAGTTCAAGAAGACAACGGCAAAAACCGTTAATTTACATAATGATCTTATTGGCTGGTGCTAATAAACTAACTTTGTTAAACAACTGTTCTTGACAACTTTGTCAGCTTATGTATATTRCAAARCAGCTAGGGTACATAACAATCATTTTCAGTTAGACACAGACTACATCAACTACTAAACGCTYCTCTTTAAAAAAATTGCAGTATAGCCACTGAACTTGAAAATGGCTTCTAGGAAAATGCTGCTGGCAATTGTCTTCGTTGTTGCTATSTTTGCTTCTTTAGGAACTGACTCCACTGTGGGGGGCACATTTGGCATATCTACAGCTACAGCTAAGGGACGCCGAAACATGTATAAGGTAAGTTTGCCATAATTTAGTTTAAAAAAGTGTGGTCGTACTAACAAAAATCGTAAAAAGTTMACTGAAAGTATTWGCCAAAATGCCTGCGTAGGCAGTGGAGGATCAGAGCGTAATATATGGGGATGACTGGCTCAAGAAAAAATGTTGAATAGGTTAAGGACTGCGAAACTTGAAATTTCGTTAAGTTGAATGCTGCTTTATTTGTTTTTTGTTTTTTTTTCAGTTTACAATGTGAGTCTCATTACGATTTTTCTTTTATTTATTTTCATCATAATCGTTTTTTCTATATTGTTGAACCCTTAATAGGTGGCTATCCCCCCGTGACCCGCCCTTTAGATATAGATGATCACAATTTTAGTGCCTTCGCGGCATTGAGTAATGTATTTTTCGTTTCAATTTCAGAAAATGCTTGATAAAAGGAATCAATCTCCTTACCCGAAAGAGGATGCTGCTATTTGCGTGGAAGCTCATAAACGTGGTTGTTGTTATAAGTAAACCTCAAGCACGATTAACAATAAGCGTCTCACGATATAAAATGATGATTATAACAGTAAATAAATAAATGTAAGATAAATGACCAGCAAACTGAATAAAGAATTCTAATTCTATAATCATGATCATTTTAAGTCCAAGATCTCACTGGCCATCGATTTATGATTGAAGATGGTTTCGTGAAGCAAACATACACCTAATTGAAGAAACGTTGTCGGGTTCAAAAAGGTCTAATCATAGAACCTAAGACCGAAAAAGTACTTTGGAAGACAAACAATTTGGCTAATTTCATACAAACAGCTCTCCAACATAAAAGACTAGCATGCTATTAATCTTACTAGCTCTAGTTGCTTTACCGTACACCATGTTAAACACCGTATATGCAAATGTAGAGGTACTCAAAATCCCTTTCGTCTTAGCTTCTATGATGTGAACTTTTCGAACACGACTACGTTTTTTCAATTAGGTGTATGTGTTTCCAACTACTGTTTCTACACTTGAATAACTTTTTTAAGGTTTCAGAGTAATATAAGTGCAAGAGGAGTAATAATGACTAAGTCTAATCGCTGAATAAAATTGCAATTCAACTGTAAGAATGCCAATCATTTTTAGTGTTAAGTCCTGTAATGAAATGACTCTCTTTATACTGCACTCTGACAAAACTCTGTATTGTCTGCAAAACTTTGCAAATAAGGAGCGCTTTAAATATGAGCTAACAACATGAATAACTTCTGGGTTTTTTTCTTTTTTTTCTGCTAAGGTTTAGAATACCCTGTCAATTTATAGTTATCAAAATTCACTGCCACCGCGGTCACGTAGTGCATGCAGTAATTTCTGGGACAAACATTGGGAGCCAATTTTAAGTAACCCGATTCATAAATACTCTAAATGCGGTTTGCATTGCCATTGAACTAGTTGTTTCAAGTATTTACAAAGCTGTTAGGAAACTATGTAGATAGCCTGAAGCTAGGCATACAATTAATTCTGAACTATTACTATTAACCAAAAAATATATAACATTTCGAAACAAAACTGAAAGATTGCTAATTCTACATTTCTTTTTTTTCAGGTATTTTATAATAAAGTATCTTATTGTATAAGGGTGATATTGATGTACACTCAGTCGAATTGACTTAATAGTGAAGTCATTATTAGTGCTACATGACAAGCTGCTATAGATTCCTTTTATTTAGTAACATGATGTGACGTGCATCAGTTCAAGAAGACAAAGCCAAAAACCGTTAATTTACACAAGAATGTTATTGCCTAGTGCTAATAAACTAACTTTGTTAAATAACGTTCATGACAACTTTGTCAGCTTATGTATTTATTAAAGGAGCTAAGGTATATACATGACAATCATTTTCAGTTAGACACAGACTACATCACCTACTAAACACTTCTCTTAAAAAAAATTAGTAAAATTGCAATATAGCCAACTCTTTAAAATGGCTTCTAGGAAAATTTTTCTACCAATTGTCTTCGCTGTTGCTATAGTCTTCGTTTCTTTAGGAACTCACTCCACTGTGGAGGGCGGGTTATGGGGCCATGGTACTGGTKTGGGACGCCGAAACATGTATAAGGTTAGTTTGCCATAGTTTATAGTTTAAAAAAAGTGGTCGTACTAACAGAAATCGTAAAAAGATCACTGAAAGTACGTAGGCAGTGGCGGATCAGAGCGTAATATATGGAGATGRCAAAATTGAATAGGTCAAGGACTGCGGAATCTGAAATTTCAAAGTTGAATGGTTCTTTATTTATTTCTTTTTTTTTTTCAGAATGGGTATCATTACGATTTTTCTTTCAAACCTTAATAGGTCTCTATCCACTTAGTCACCTCCGTGACCCGCCCTTCAGTTATGAATGATCACAATTTTAGTGCCTTCACGTCATTGAGTAATGTATATTCCTTTCAATTTCAGAAAATGYTTGATAAAAGGAATCAATCTCCTTCCCCAAATGAGGATTCTGCTATTTGCGTGGAAGCTCATAAACGTGGTTGTTGTTATAAGTAAAACCTCAAGCACGATATATAACGTTTATGACAGTAAACAAATAAATGTAAGATAAATGACCAGCAAACTGAATAAAAAAAATATTCTAAACATGATCATTTTTTAAAAGTCCAAAATCTCACTGGTCATCGATTCATGTAAATGGTTGCGTGAAATATGTGTTTTCAACTGCCGTTGTATACTTTGTATGTCCATTTTTTATATTGCTCTACATGAATTATACTTTTTCAAGGTTTCAGAGTAATATAGGTGCATAAGGAGTAATAATGACTTCTCAATCTGAATGATCAAAACGAGCATGAAGTTTAATCGCTGAATAAAATTGCTAACAATTCGCCTAACAATACAACAGTAAGACCGGAAGTATAAAGCCAAATTCATGTTTGTTTACGTCCTGTAATGAGATGACTCTCTTTATACTKCACTCTGACAAAACTCTGCATTGTCTGCAAAACTCTGCAAATAAGGAGCGCTTTAAATATGCTTGAAATATAAAATCAACTCACAACATGAATAACGCTGCTGTTTTCGTTTTTTCTATTGCTTTTAAAATTAAGTTTTGATTTCCGAATGCCAAAAGATGTAGAAATACAATTCCCAAAGATTTGGTAATTCGGAACCGAAAGAAGTCTGTCACTTTTCTAAATTATAATACAGTCCAAACCTACAAGTTGTACTAATAGCGTAGGAACCTAATTAAGTCATGTTAGATGTGCGACTAAAGCAATTTAGTTTCAAACTGTGAAAACTGCACAACTTAATGATAAATAAGAATAATATATATMGAGAGCGTTATTTTTACATACTCAATACCTCTATTAAACCCTAGCGTTAAGTAAGCGCTCTAAYATTTTTTTGGGGAGTGGCGGTCCGTGGMACGTTTTCAATTTTTGGTTTATAGCTTTATTGGGTTCTAGAACGCAGCTGATTCCAATAAGTAACAAATAAAAGGCCTGGGTTAAGACCTAACTTCATTTTTGCCGCACTAAAATCATGTTTGTCTTGTCTTGTTCAAGTGCGATAGTCATTGTTTTTTATTGCCGGAGCGTCTCTTTTACTGTACCTTGTACACTTGTTCTAAACTATAACTTTGAATAATATCATCTCTAAAGCTCATTCCTTGTGTTATAAATAGCATATTGTTTTGGCCATAGACTACCATTGGCAAGTTTAAAACAATTTTCAACGACTTTTAAATGCAAGTTCTAAATGCACTTGTACATGGTTACAACGTGTATTTCAGCTGCCTCCTATATGACATTAAACATTAATTATTGACAATTTTAAGAGGAAAATGTTCGCAATAGAGTAACTTTGTTAACCAATAGTTATTGACAACTTCTGACATAGCCGATGGGACGTGAAAAGAAATTTATGCAAACTATACATTAAGACATTAGCAACGAAAAACGTATACAGCTATTTCAAAAAAGGTTGTCGGATAAAATGGCGAATGTCATTGGTCGAACGGCGATTKCACAACCGAAAGTAGCCATGTGTTTTGCTGTAWAGTTGAAAGGCAAAACAACTGATTTKTACTGTAAGATGGTCTKTGGTAAACATTGGCTCCACTTAGTCTCCATTTCTATGTAAAGTTTTCAAAACAGTTTAACCATAATTCTTTTCGGTCGTACAATCTCCTTTCGATAATCGCTGTTCTATCACATGACCGGAAGTCAGGAGATCCATTCTCCCCGACAAACGTTCTTTGAAATAGCTGTATTTAAGAATCATATACGGCTCGTGTTAATACAAARTGATTTTGATAATTAATCGTCATTGACAACTTAAGATACCCGCAAATCAATATGATCAAGACACAGAAGSAATCAGAATAAAAATAATTTTCTTTGAAAAACCCTGTAATTTTGAAAGAGTTTAMTTTTCTAGTATGATATTATGTAATCTTAGTCATGTTTGTAGGTTACATACATCAGTGATCCTGTATTTGTACGAGTCTAAAAGCAGGAAATAGTAGTCAGTAWATTGGGCTGACGTCACAGTAGTTAGTGTATAGTGATTCTGTCTGAAATCAAGTCTTCATATCTTTCTCAACTTTTTGAAGAGCATAATGGATGCATTTATCTGAGAATTGCACCAAACCAACATGGATCACATGTAATGTGATACAGTCAACTCTCTCGTAAGCGACCACCTCGGGATCAGGAAACAGTGATCGCTTACGAGAGATGGTCGTTTACGAGAACGCTAGCACAGGAAACCCAAACAATGATAATCAMAACACAGGAGGCCCAAATAATTCAAAACACGTTCGTATTTCAGTGTATAAAATCTTTGATCACAGTTCCATGTCATTCCTMAAATTCTGAAGTTGATTTTAATTTCCTAATTCTATTGTTTTCGATGGTATAGCTAAACACTACAGTGTATTTAATACTAAATAGTACACTTTTACGGTTTGTACTCTATTAAAGTAACCAGAAATGTAATTTGWGTAAGCTTTATAAGTAAATTAAACACATGCCTTTATTGCGTCAGTCGAGGTTGGTCGTTTAAGGTAGAGGAAAAACAATGAAAAATTCTAAAATTTCATTCCCAAAGCTGTTCGCGGTCGCCTATAAGAGTGGTCGCCTATACGAGAGAGTTTTTTACAGAGTTTGTATGGGAAACAAACTGGGAAATTTAAAAGGTGGTCGTTTACGGGAGATGGTCGCTTACGAGAGTGGTCGTTCAAAGAGAGTTAACTGTATCTATAATTTTTAGATTAAATGAATTCAGTCAACTTTTGCTTCAGGTAGTCATAGCCATTATTTTAAAATTCATTGAACTATTTTTCTTGCTCCCATCTTTGTGTTCCCACTTTTTTTGTAGTTTGTCCTTTTTTTTATTTGTCAAGCCTTTCAAAAATTTCCCATCATAATATTGACTGAAATGTAGAAATTGATTATTCTACCTGAACAGAATAACCTGTAATAATATACTGCAGTATAACCACCATAAAGACAGCATACAAAAGATTTCACAGAAAATATATGTTTACTGTGGGTGAACCAATTTGCCTCACAGTAAAATAATTATAGCTGCAAGTTGATTGAATCCTAAGGTTAGAATTTTTTGCATACTCAAAGTCTTACAGTATATTTCTGAACAATAACCTTTAAAAAGCATTTGGGACTAAGTATCTTCGAGGAAAATTGAAAAAAATAAGGATTCCAATTAAATACTTTTAAATGTGACCTTGGAAACACTAAATTGTGATAAACTTGGATTATAAGCTGAAGCTAAACACAGAGATGTAAAGAGAAATTATACACTGTCATAGATGCCAACCCTCCCTCCCTGGGAATCCACGAGGACACACGAGTGACCACGAGGACACACGAGTGTAAAAATAACCAAAAAGTTATTTGTTTTTATTTTTGAATATTAAGAAAATAAATACTATACCCTATACCCTATACGTTCTCGCATTTTATACTTTAGGTGGATATCGAGTCTGGTTAGTCTCTAGACAACTTTTCCTTCTCATTGGGGCCCGGGGGGGGTGTACTCCCCCGAAACTTTGACCCTGTTCCAGACAAAATTCGTTGAAATGGATACCCAGTTCCAGAGTAAAATCGCTGAAAACGATACCCTGGTTGGCGGCACGTCCCCGTCTAGCGAATATAGGGGAGTATCCCACCCCCCCGGGCATTGGGCGTTTCTTGGTGAGCCGAGGTTTATTTACATCAGCCTATTTTTAGATTTCTGCAGTGTTTTGTAGTTTCCTAGCTGTTGATTAAATGAACTTCCTTTCCCCAATGAGGAGTCCTAGTTGTTTTTGTATTATAAATTTGCGTAGAATTAGCTTCTTTTAAGCTATGATTTGTTCATGTTTTACTAGAGATGTTGCACGCCATTTTAAGTGCAGTCATAAATAAATAAACTTCCTTCATCAATTATACTCAATAAGTATGAAATGCAGGATTAAAAGAAGTGTTGGGATAAAAATTTGTTTGTTGAATAGTTATTTCACTCATTTCATTTTT